CACCGCTGCACCGCTGCTATGTGTTGCAGCGGTGTATTGGACGGTGTTGAAGTGAAGTTATTAGGTCAAATCAAACATTAAGACTATTGCTGGTACTGTAGTAGTACTGACAAGTTGTATTTATTAACCATCATTTTATTATTGAAACGGTCCAAGTGCCTGTGCACACGGGGCGCGCACACGCACGTACGCACGCATACGCGCGCGCACGCACACGCACACGAACATGCACACGCACACGAACATGCACACGCAGACGCACACGAACACGCACACGCCGACGCACGCACACATACGCGCGCGCACGCACACGCATACGCATATGGCGCGCACACACGCAAACGCACACATACGCGCACACACGCAGACGCATAGGCACACGGCGCGCACACGCATAGGCATACGGCGCGCACACACGCACACGTACACATACGTGCACACACGCACACCCATAGGTGATATAGATGATTGGTTGTTATGATTGTTATCTCTCGATCTAGTGTTGATTAAGTTCCTCACACATTCGCGTGTGCGTTGCTCAATGCCGTTCGATATCAGATGAACGATGTTACCCGACGTACGATACTAAGTGATACAAGATCACTAGTATCCCTAGTCACTGGCCCAAATGATACTGCGGCGCGATGGCTGTGATCGTATAGTAATTTAATGTTCGAGTACCTTGCGGTGCCTTAGCTCCCAGGTCCGGCGCTCGCAGATATCACGGAAGCCTTGTACGGAGTACGTATAGGAGATATGCGTGTCTTGTGCGAGTACGTTGCGAGTGCGAGCTGAGCACGATCGTATCATAGCATATGCGAACACGTAGAATACGGACTATAGATGATTTATTCTACTCAATGACTCCAAATACAGATTATATGCGTCTGACTACACACTACACAAAACCACGGCTGAACTGTCACCGCCGCGCGGCGACGTGTGTGGGCTCACACTCTTAACTGTTCTGCATAGACTACTCCCTGTCGCGGCGCGCGATGGATATTCCCAAGGGCACGCGTTATATTAGGCGCGTGCTCTGTGCGCTACTAAGGTGTATGTTATAACGAAACTTGATTGTAAGTTAATTAAAACATGGCTGTAGGTTGCGACAACGCTAGGATTTGGTCACTATAACATCAAGAGCATATAAAGAAGAGAATTTTCTCGTATTTTTATTAGGTTGCTGTTATATGCACTGTTTGTACGGGCCACTGACAAATCATAATTATGATTGTCCTACCAAGCACAAATAAACACCCTAATGGTGCATATATTCTAATAGCTTTATTACATCAGTTATTAAAATATCATAAAATTAAATGATTATATTATCAGGAGTAGATGAAGAGGAGTATGACTGGCTAAGAACAAGAGAAATTCAACATATTTATACTCGTATTTACCTATGATTGATTTAGTGAAATCCAATAAAAATTACATCATCACTAGCGCTGAACATCCAAAATCTCATCACACTTTACTGTG